TAAAAATATTAATCATGAATAATTTTTCTTCGTTTCGTTAAAAAAAAAATATTTTTGACTTATATATATATATATATATATATAAGCAAACAATAAATTATTAACTATTCTTGTAATTCTAGGAACTATAAATGTTTCATGATAACAATAAGTTTCATACTATAAAAACTATTTTTTTTTACTTCCATAAAAGATTCCCATTGATCTGACCCTCTAGAATTTAGACTCGCTCTAAACCAAGTTTATTTAACTAATGGCTGTGTAATACAGCTGCGAGAAGGAGGTTTTTATTCCGCGATATTGTGCATAAAAACAGGGGAGAATTGTATCCAATGTGCTTGATTTTTTATAACCGGTGTTCACACAATATAATTATATAAGCACACAATAAAGTATTCATTATTCTTGTAATTCTAGTAATTAGAAATGTTTCATGACAACAATAAGATATATTCTATAAAAAGTTTTTCTTTTAATTCCATAAACGATTTGACCCTCTAGAATTTAGACTCGCCTTAAATCGAACTGAAGGTCAACAGTCAAATTTTGAGTGTCGGAAAAATCTTCATTAACCCACTGGCGGTTAAGGAAATGGGCAAAATTGGGAGAATGTTTCTCCCCTACACACAGTTCCCCTATCAGTTAACATGGGAAAACCGGTTTTGCTATGCAGAGAAGACTGCAGGTTAAAATGCGACTTTTTACGTGCAGAACCGTCAGTGGGTTAAAAGGCATAGTTGCATTATTATTTCGTATTTTATTTTTCATAGTTTTACATAACATAAATGAAACTTACAATATATCTATGAATTGAATATTCTATGATTGAAAAATATTGTATGTTTGGGGGCCACGACTTAAAAAACGTTTAAAACACCTGAAATTAATATTTAAAATTATAATAGCTACCACTTTATTAAATAGATTTATCTTCTTATTTTTATAAAAGCTTATTATTCGTGAATTATGCTCATTTATAAAACTTATGTAAGTACTTACATATTTTAAAGATAATTGGTGAGCATTAGCATTCCTTCTAACTCTTCCGGATTTCCCCGAAGATTTTATTTTCATATTTAAAGTGGTAGTAAATATATACTATTTTTTCTTTTATAAACTTAGTTTTCAAATGATTTTGTTCACCACTATTCTTACAAAAATTAAGCACATATATTAATATGCGTTACTATCATGGTTGTCAATTTAAGATTTCTCAAATACAACGTATTTGTTTGCTTAAAATTGAAGTTTTAATACCACTGGGTAAAATGATAATAGAAGGGATTAAAAGCTGGCAAGCATGCATTTACCAGTAAGAGTTTTTTTTATTGTACGTTTCTCGTGAATACTTTGAAAACTCGGCGTTCAACAGCCGACCCAATATTTCGGGTTTGCGACTACTAATGTTTAACTTCCTAACCTTGCAATTTTGATCCCCATCCGGAAGATAAGAGGACTCTTAGATAAAGCGTTGGAAGAAATTTGACTACCAAACCGTATTTGCATTTCATGGTGAGGAAAACCACGGAAACCTCCTATGGTTAGTCTGGTGACTAGGGAACTCAAACCCGTGATTCGTCTACCACTGAGGATATTTTACGTCAACAGATAAAAATTCACTAAATTGAATTTATTAAACCAAGAATTGCAATTGCTAAACTACCACTTTAAAATAGATATTTGCTGACCGGAGCAAGTTGGCATCTCTGGAAAGCTAATCCGGTAAGAGTGGTAACCAGGACGGCGGGGTTTCTACTTTAACAGAGCCACAGTTACCCGTATACACACATCCTCACATTCCTTTAATTCGCCCACTTATGCATGTATTCCCAAATTTTAAATATTCATTAGTATTTATTTTCCCATTGTACTTTAATTTTACCTATTTTCATAAATATTTATTACTTGTAATTTTGTTATTTCCTAATAAGGGCAAAGTGCCATTTTTTTCTTTCTCATTTAGCTCGCCAAACTGCATCATGCATCTTAGTCTCATTTCAGGTTGAATGGGAAAAGGGCCGTAAGGCCTCAGAACCCCAGTTCCACTGCAACGAACGAAAATACCAGTTATGAACTGTACCATAAAAACTATCATTAAATCTTTTTTCCTTGTTTATCTTGAGGCACCTTTTGATAGGTTACGGTGGTTATAGTTAGAAACAAGCGATGCTAAAGGTTTCTAAAATATTAGACGCATAATTCCGGAAATGATTCAAATTATTTCTGAAGTACTACAAAAGGTTTCTGGATATTACAGAAAGAGGTTTCCAAAATATTAAAAAAACTGTTTTAAAATTTACATTCTCCGTAGCTACCCCATATATTCAGAAACGATTAAAGATGTTTTTGCAGTGTACCATGGTGTTCAAAATTAAAAGAATTTCCATACATATTTTGTTGAATTTTCTAAAAACGATTGAATGAAATTTAAAACCATTGCTTTGAAACAAAGATGTATATGATACGTAGAGAATATGTCACGAAGACGTATAGAATATGTCAAAATATGCGTGTGTATGGGCGGAGCAAGTAGTGGAATAAAGTTTGTATTTTATAGTTGTCGTTGAACAGTCAATCGAATTTCGAGTTCACGATTACAGATGTTCAACTCCGTAACCCTGTAAATTTTGAACCTTATCCTGAAGGTAAAGGAACTCCTAGATCAAGTATTAGGAAAAAATTTCCTTCATTCAGGACTTTTTGATGGAACTTACCCGCAATTGCATTAAATGTAAATGAAAGTCCCGAAAGCCTCCCACCATTTGCTTAATGGTAAGGGGACTCTAACACATGATCCGTCTACCACTGAGGATATTTTACGTCATAACTGTAATAGGTGCGAGCCAAGTGCGGAATTCAATTCGTATCTACCAGCCATTGCTGGGATTCAAATCCGATTCACCTCTTCGAGAGGCGAACGCTCTATCTCTGAGTCACCGTGGCTGTCAAGTCCAGATTTTTAGTGAATTCAATTTAACGTTCGGCGTCGATTGCAATTTATGAAAACAATTTTAGGATTCCTGATCTCTCGAGAAGAAGCCTGGCTAAGAGTCACAACGATTAACGAAGATCGGTACAGTACGAAGATCGGTATCGGTTGATTACAGAGAGGCGTAACAGGATGTTACAGCTACGCTGCTCTCTCCTTACTTTTAGGTGGCCACAAGGTGCTTTTAGGTGGCCGAACTTCAATGGGTCCTGTTTCCAGGTGGCATCACGATAGAGAGGTGTATGCAAAACCCGCTGTTGGCATAAAGTTGACTTCTGCCAATCAAAATAGTCCACTAAAGAGGGTTCACAGATCATACAGATTAGAGCTTGCATCAATGGTCGGAGGTTCTCTTCACTGATTCGTTTCCTCACTTCAGATTCTCGGCATACTTTCACAAGGAGAACAGGGACCCAATTCCGAGAAATTTACCACTTGAGCGGTGGAAGTTTATGGCTCTGAGAAGGCATAATGACAGAATCCCGCA